TGTATGTGACGTGGTTTAATCAGACCTTTGTATGTGACGTGGTTTAATCAGACCTTTGTGTGTGACATGGTTTAATCAGACCTTTGTATGTGACGTGGTTTAACCAGACCTTTGCATGTGACGTGGTTTAACCAGACCTTTGTGTGTGACGTGGTTTAACCAGACCTTTGCATGTGACGTGGTTTAACCAGACCTTTGTATGTGACATGGTTTAATCAGACCTTTGTATGTGACGTGGTTTAACCAGACCTTTGTATGTGACGTGGTTTAACCAGACCTTTGTATGTGACGTGGTTTAATCAGACCTTTGTGTGTGACGTGGTTTAACCAGACCTTTGTATGTGACGTGGTTTAATCAGACCTTTATGTGTGACGTGGTTTGTCTGTTTGTTGTTTTGTTCTTTGCCTCAAACTTTAGAAACCAGAAACTTTAAGTTGTTCATGTGACAGCACAAAGCACAAGATTACCTTCAACCACAACTTGAAAGGCTGCATGTTACAGTCATTACCTGTAGCTTTAGCTTCAGTGTCAGAACGTCCGCTGAGACGAAACCAGTGTGACCAATTCTAACGCCATGGTACCCAGTCCTGGTCCTGGAGAGCCACCATCCTGCAGGTTTTAGATGCTTCTTTGCTTTGACACACCTGGCTTCTGCAGAGCTTGAAGACCTGCTGACAATCAGGGAAACAACGAAAACCTGTAGAATAATAGCCCTGGTGCACCAGGATGGAGCACCAATGCTTTAGTGTCTCCATCAGTTGTGGAATTAACCATAAATTCAGAAAAAAAACTTTAATTTAAAAACAAGACACAAATGTAATTTTTCTGCAGCTTCAGAAATAATCAAGATGTAAAACTGAAAAGAACAGCAAAGAGAGAAGTGTGAGGGTAAACACAAAGGGCGTCACACCAGTCTCTACTGACAGAGATTACCTCCCTGTCCAACAGTCCCTGAATGCCTCACCCAGTTTAATTCAATTACCTGCTGGTCACTGAGACCCACAGGACCTGCGAGGCCTGCAGGATTTCCATTAGTGCCAGGAAATAACAGAACGTTTAATCACGTTCACTGTAACTCAGCTCGGTTCTGGTTGTCAGGTGATTTATGAGCAGATTGGATAAAAATATCAAGTTTATTAATGTCACACAGGTTATTCTTTAAGTTATCACATTATCAACTTTCTGACAGATCCAGTAGCAGGACGGCATCTCCTCAGCTTCTTTGCAGTCCCACAACATCAAACTGACCTGATTTCAAATGGACTAATAGTTTTGGTCCCTCTTCCAATCGACTTTGGTGCTCAATGGACTCAGAGAGTCGAACGGAAGCATCTGATAATTTTCCGGTCCAGGACCAGGACCAGAACCAGGACCGTTTCCAGCCCATCGGCCACCTCAAGTGAAGCTTGATGGCCAGGTGGCCTCTCGAGCGGGGAGACGTTGTCCAAAGGTCCGACATTTTTCTCCAGATTCTAACTGGACTTTTCATCTGGACCTCAGTGGCTGTTTGGTTCCTACTGGGATTACTGTGTGGTTTTGTGCTGGCTTTTTGTTGGACTGGCTCTCCTTGTAGGTATCTTGCTGTCGGCCATGGAGATGTTGATCTGAGCCGGACCAGAACTGTGCCAGCTGGAACCGAGCTGGTCCCAGCATCAGCGAGCAGCCTGATCCTCACTCATCCAAGGACTAGCTTTCTCTGTGGGCATCTGTTGTTGGCTGTGGAGAAGTTTGACGAAACCGGACCAGAACCTAGCCAGTCCCAGTCTCAGTGGGCAGCCTGATCCTTGCTCACCGAAGGACCAGCTTTCTCCATGGATGTCTGCTGTCAGCTGTGGAGGAGTTTCCCAGAGCCGGACCAGAACCAAACCAAGAATGGCTTCCAGCCTCTACGGTCAGTCTGACCACTGCTCACCTGTATGGAAGTCTCTCCTGCTGGGAAGCACTGTGGAGGAGCTGTTTGAAGGAAAACCGGCATCTGTATTGGAGTTCTGTGGATCTTCCATCTGCACTCACCTGGATTTTGGATCTGTATGGAACCACTGCTTCGGCGCTGGTCAGCTGAAGGATCTATTCCAGATCGAAGGCGAAACATTTCAGCACAAAAAAAGAAACTGTCCAGATGACCTGACTGAAAAATGTTGGATTGTATACCCAGATTATTGAGCATGGACTTTGCTGTTTTCAACCAGTTTGACAAGACTGTCAACAAGGAAAAGGGCTGGCAATGGAGGAGGGGCGTACCAAAGAGACCATCTAATCATAAGCAGAACTGGTTTGTTCCACTTTGGAGTAAGCAGTTGGAGGAAGAATCAGTTTTGTTGTGTGTTTCCTTGACTGATGAAGCCTTCCGGATCCAAGGCGAAATGTTTCACACAACAAAAGAAACTGTCCAGATGACCTGACTGAAAAATGTTGGATTTTATACCTGGATTATTGAGCATGGACTTTATTATTATGACAATAGTTTCAAGCGATGTTCACATCATCAATTAACAGAATACGGTGCCAGTCAAAGTGAGATAAATCCCAGAGGAATGACTGTTCACAAAAACATTTCAGATCACTATTTTGAATTAATCTGGGCTTAGTGTGGAAGTTCAATGTCTCTGAGAGTCGCTATGATACAATGGTCACTCAAACCATGGAGTCTGTCACAATTTTAACTCCTATAATTACACATCTGTCCCAAAAAATACAAGAAAATGTCTAATGATAACGTTGTTACTGTTGTCTGGGATACAACCTAATCCTGGATCCCCCACACATTATAGCACACCAAATTATTTAAAAACCATGTCAGGAGTACACTTTCTGCACGTTAATACATGCAGTCTCCCTCGAAAAATTGATTCATTGAGGGTTTGGGTCTGTTTTTCTAGTGCTGATGTAATTTTAATTTCTGAAACTTGGTTATCCAAAAAAAAAATTTGATAAAGATGTAGCAACTGGTGGATTTAACATCTAACGTTCTGACCATCTCTGGAAGGGAGGTGGCGTTACAAATTACATCAGAGCAGGCCTGGATTCTCAACTGGTGTCTGCTAAAACAATCCCAAGCCAGTTTGAATTCCTGGCAGTAAACATTACTTTTCATGGAGGTTTTTCTTATCTGTTGTGGGCTGTTATCACTCCATCCCCCCAGCAAACTGCTGAGGCTCTGTCCTCCTTTTTAGAATTCCTAGCCAATTTACAGTTCAATGAAATCCTCCTTGCCAGTGACTTCAATGTTGATTGGAAAATTCTGAGCCCACTCCGTGAAAAATTCAAGGAATTTTGCTTGACACTTAATCTGACACAAATCATTGACACCCCCACCAGACCTAACAAGCGATGTCCTGAAAAATCTTCCATATTAGACCTCTTAACAATTATGCCCCATAAATTCCCTGGTTTGGGTGGTTTTGCAAATGATAGGAGCGATCATTGCATTATCGGAGTTATCAGAGACACTAAACTGCCTCACTCTAAGCCCATATTAATTCAAAAAAGGGATGTGAAATGTTTTAGTCATCAAGCCTTCCTGTCCCATTTTGATTGGCACCGTATCCTATTAACAACGACATGAACACTGCTTGGAACTGTTTTCAGAGTAGTTTAATCTATTTTGTAGATAAACATGTTCTTTTTTGCCAGTTCTGAATAAAAGGACGACACAGCACCTGGTTTGCACCTGAGTTAGCTGATCTTCTGCACAGGAGAGATCAGCTTTGGGCTGCAGCCAGGAATTCTGGCTCAGACTGACTTGTTGCATTTTCAACAGCTGCAAAATAAATGTGCAACTTGAATCAAAGCTTGATTCAGCTGCTCAGAGTACTCAGTATCGACCTGACTCTCTGTGAAGCCAGGTATCGTAGCTCCGTGGATGATGGCTTGGTGTCTCTCACATGCACGCGCCTACCTGTAGGTTACAAAACTCTGACTTCCATCCATCCATCCATTATCTTTACCCGCTTATTCCATTTTGGGTCACGGGGTTTGCTGGTGCCCATGTCCAGCAATCACTGTGCAAGGGGCGGGGTACACCCTGGACGGGTTGCAAGTCCATCACAGGGCCACATAGAGACAAACGAGACAAACAACCATTCACTCTCTCACTCTCACCTAGGAACAATTTAGAGTTACCAATCAGCCTAACATGCATGTTTTTGGTCTGTGGGAGGAAACCGGAGTACCCGGAGAAAACCCACGCATGCACGGAGAGAACATGCAAACTCCACCCAGAAAGGCTCCTGGACCGGGGTTTGAACCAGGAACCTGTTCGCTGAGAGGCAGCAGCTCTACCAGTTGCGCCACCGTGCTGCCCACTACAACAATCAATGAGAGTAAAATTAAAGAGAAATATATATATATATATATATATATATATA